CGGGCGCGGGGGGAGCCGTGCCTTGCGCCCCTGCTTGGCCCGTCACCCGCCCGCCGCTGTCCGCAGCCAGCGGGGCGGCTGGACGGCGGCTGATTAAAAAAAATAGTGTCTGAACAGTAACGGGAATGAAAGTGCCGCGCATCGGGAAACACGCGCCTTTCTGGTGCCCCAATGCCAGGAAAACCGTAAAGCCGCTCACTGGAGGGTTTCAGAGTTCAGCAGCATTTTCTAGGTAGGTAGGCAGCAATTATTTAGTCTTCTTGGTGATTCGGATGTCTTCTGCATAAGCTTTTAAAAGCTAGAGTCCAGAGAAGGGCAGTGGAGCTGGGAAGGGTCTGGAGCACAAGTGCTGTGAGGAGCAGCTGAGAATGTGTATCCTGGAGAAAAAGAGGCTCAGGGGTCACCTTATCACTTCACAACTGCCTGACAGAAGGGTGCAGTCAGGGGTCGCCCTCCTGTGTCAGGCAACCAGTGACACAGCTGGAGGAAATGGCCTCAAGCTGCTCCAGGGGAGGTTCAGGTTGGACATCAGGAATAATTTTTTTCGTGGCTGTTAAACATTGGAACAGCCTGCCCAGGGAGGTGGTGGTGTCACCATCCCTAAAATTCTTCACAAAACAATTGGACGTGTCAGTGCTATGGTTTAGTTGACCTGGTGGTGTTTGGGCATAGGTTGGTTGCTCTTGATGATCTCAGAGGTCTTCTCCAACCTAACTGGTTATGTCATTCTCTGAAATTAATTCTAACAAAGAAGAAATTGATGTGATTTTTTTTTTATGGAAGTGTTTTTATGAAAGTGTATCAAGTGTTTTTGTCATGAAAGTGTTTTATGAAGTGCTTTTTATTTTTATTTATCCTATGTTGCAGTAGTTGATGGTACTCACTGTTAAACATACTTGACCATGAGGTGTGGGCTTTAACATTAGTCTTTAGGGAAAGGGAAATAAGTAGAATGAAAGCAGCATCAGGCTTCAAAAACTCTGAAGATAGATAGGAAATACCCTGTGAATGTCTTATGAAGAATCAGTGAAAACTCACATAGGACACATCATAGCTGTACCTCTTCCAGTGTTTAAAAGAACAAGTACAAATTGTGTGGATGAAGACCAGGAAGTATAGTAATAAATTAACTGGGCTAAATATTAAGTTTTTAGTGACAATAAAAGGAAAAACAGACCCTCCATGAGTCATTTTAACTGGTACGAGTGCTGGGAAAATAGAGGAACAAGTAATATCTCCTAAGTATATTCACAAGGTAATGAGTGAAGACGGATGTGAGATTGTTAGTTTGAAAAGATAGGTTTGTATCAATTTTTTTTTTTCTGCTTACACAATATGTCAGTGTTTTTTAGACTTTTATGTGTGCTGAATTTAAGAATATGGGTTATGAATTTGCTATGCAGGTGCATAGCAGGCTAGCAGCTGTTCTTGGAATAGTCTGAAATGCTACCCTGTCAGATGCAGAGAATCTACCAGCTGCCTGTCAAAAGTTTTGTTATGAGGCATTTGGATGAAGAACAATAAAGTATTTTTATTACATTTGGAGGTGAAACTGTGCAGGACAAAATGGGAAGTAGCTGTGAGCATCTCATGGCAAGTCACTGGGTTTCTGGGTTACTTGGATGTAGGAGATTCTATTTCCCCACTCACTGGTGACTCATTTCCACTGTAACTCATGCCTTTACTTCTGTGAATGGCCATCCTTGCGGTGTCAGTATAGAAAAGATACGAGGTTTCATCTATTCCAGAGCAGGAAATCATGCCAGTTCTCCCTCAGGTTTATGGCTGAGAGGAAAAATAATTCTGACCCTAGTGATTACAGGTGGTTGCACCCATTGCTGTGGTAACTACTGTTACCAACAGCCACTGCTGTTGCCTCTCAACATTTTTGGACAACATCTTGTGCTGTACAAACTGGTCACACTTGGCATTTGTGGGCTTTAATAACTTTGTGAAGAAGTTTAAGGATATGGATGGTGAAGGTAATAGAAATTGAGGAAGGTCTATAGAAGTTAAAATTACACAGAAAATTTCTGACAGTTAGTTTTTAAAAGAAACTAGGAATTTAAAAGTGCTGGGAAAGCAATGCCCTCTTTTCAAGTGTTGGAGACCATTATTTGTTACATTGGGAAGATCGGCTGCGTATATAATTGATAAACCACCCAGTGTCCTAACCTAATGTTAGGTTAGGTATATAGAGACCAGTTCAGGATTGAAACAACACTAGAAAGAAAATGAGTTGTAGAGAAAACCAGTGAAATGTTGTGTGCAGTTTTCACTGCAAGGTTACTGCAGTGTGTCTGCACTATGCTTTTTTGTCTGCCCTATGGGTTAGGGAGTACTGAGTAGCTCTACCACAGTGCCAGGCCTGATGTGCTTAATCTCTGTACTGCAATGGATTAAATATTGCAGAAGAGTGCAAAACACACAGATGTTGCTTTCTCTCTCCACTTAGGGTATGTATATCAGGAAGGGCTGAGCTTTGTTTCAGGCCAACGTCCCACCTTAAGCTGTAGGTGAAAGTAAATAATGTAGGACGTGTCTATACCACCTTCTGCTTCAATCAAAAGCTGTCTGAAACCTTTCTTTTGGCCTGCACTGGTCTTTGGCAGGCATTTGGAACAGAAACAGTGGAGTGTGTGATGCAAATAATTAATATTTTCTTTCTGTCAGGTGAATTTTGTTCTTCTACACTGAGTTCAGGGTCCAAAACACTTTTGGAGCCTGAAGCCTTGTCTGTAGTAGGGAGTAGTAGGAGCAGGTCGACATATACAAGTGGTTGATGCTGAGTTTCCTAAATGGTTAATACTAAGTTTCCTTATACCTCCATCATCTGTGATTCAGAGAGTCTGCTTCTTAAATTAAGTCTGTTATCCAGGACTGAGTATCTGCAATATAGACTTTGAAGATCTCAAAGGGGTACAAAACGTTTAGGTATATGCTGCAGGTATAGCTTTCACATTCACATGCTGGTTTTTTTGAAATGTTTTATAAATGAGGATTTCTTCTTTAAAAAACAAGTTATGCACTCAAAAATTACTTTGAGATCCAAATCAGCATGTGCTAAATAAAGGCAACACGCGATTAACTACAAAACCACACTTATTTTAAGTCACTACATCAGATGTAGTCTCACTAACATCCTAAGGTCTTGGATATCCAGATCTAACTCAAGATGTAGCAATTTTACCCTGAGACCACCTTTACCTCTGTCATCATAGGAAAGTTACCTTGTGTTTCTGATTTTGCCTGTTTCTGAGTAATTAGGTTCTTAGGAGAAGAGCCAGCAACTTGAATAGGTTTTGCTGGGATGAAGGGAATAATTGTGGACATTAAAGAAGTGTCAGTGATGATTTTAACATGTGTGTAGCCTTCATCAAAATGCTATAATGAGTAATAGCGAAAAGATATGAGTTTGCATGAGTACTGTAACTCTGTGGGGTGAATATATAAAGGATTGGCCTTTTAAAGTGCAGGGGAAGACAGATGTAAAATAATGCTGTTTCAGCCTGGTTGTCTTATTTTTCTTGAAAGAGAGAAAGTGAATGTTAAAAGATTGTAAGAATGAGAAGCCATTAGATTCAGTAAAGAAAGCAATGGCTAGAAATAGAAAAAGAGCTAAGAAAAATCTGAGTGCCAATACAGAGGGAAAAGACCCTATAAAAGTAACTGTACTGTCAACAGGAATATGTGAGAATTCAAAATTAAAGTAGTTAATTTCCTGAAAGCATGAAACCTGAGACAAGGTACGCTGTTTAATTTTTATCAAAAAAATACTTTTTTTTAAAAAAAAGTTATTTATCAAAAAAGAACTTCATCAGTTCTTTATCAAAAAATAAATTTTATTTTCAAGTGGGGAAAAAACTATCATCCTGAAAGTCAGGTCACACCTTCAACAACATAGTTAGATGGGCTTATTTGATTGTAAAAATGATTCTGTATTTAATGACAATCTCTAAGTGGTGGGTTTTTACAAGATTGCCCTAAAGTGATGGCAGTGATAAAAATACAACTACACCAAGCTTGTCATTAGAGGAACATCCAGCATAAGTCATTATCTCTGAGATGACTCTTCAGTTAGTTGTGATAGCAAATCAGAATAGATGACTGAGTAGTAGTGATTGATGCCTCATTTCAGTATCTTGGACAAGTATTTCACTGAACATTATATTATTTTCACTGAAATTTATCAATGTAATTTATTTTTCTTATTATATACCATGCTGTCAAGGGCATTGCCATAGCTTTGGTACATGATTAATTGTTCCTGCAGTAGAACATGGACTGAAACTTAGAGTGTTCATATATTTTTAATTGAAAAACAAATTCCTCATACAGTTTATGTATTTATAACTAAAAAATATATCTTGCTGGAAATAGCTGATTCCATTTTCCATTGAAAATAATTGATACAGGCTCTTAATAACTATTTTAGTTTAAAAATGCAAAAAGATAAGGGGCCCTAAATACTTAAGATCTGGTATATAATATTTTCATCAAAAGGCTGATTAATGAGGAGGTTATATTTAAACTTTTTCAATATCTTCATTTGCAGTCCTATGTATTGTAATGATTAAGAGTTAAAATGAGCACTGTAAAGTAGCACCATATGCAAATTTTTATAAGAACAGTAGGTCATCATCGAGGTCATTTTATTTCAAAGATTATGTAGGAGTGTTAAAAGCATGGTTTGAGTTTTAAAGTTCTCTTTATGGGAGCAGCAAGCTCAGATTTTATTTGATTTGGACCTTCAGCAATTACCAGGAATTTCTGGAAAAAGCATGAAGCATTCTGTATTCCGTAGGTTTTTGTATGTTGTACAAGCTCTGCATTAGGGGCCATATGTGGCCTACACTTCTGATACTATGAGCTTTAAGAAGGAAAGTGATAAGCTAAAATTTCTCAGTACTCTTATTAAATACCATTGAGAAATACATGTGGCATTACCAAGTTTCAGTGGTAAATTTTGTTGCTAATAATTGAATGCAAGCACTGACTTCTGTGGGAAATATTTTCTTCACCTGAAATTCCCACTCACATTTGCATAAGCCTGTATCTCATGCACTAAATTCTCAACAAACCAGAAATGCATAAATAAAGAAGAATCTGTATAAGGAAAAGTACTCAGCATTCAGTTGCATTATACATATAAATATAGGACATATGAATTGTCCTATATGTGATTGAATCCAGTCTTCAGTAAAAGTATGTGCATTTTTTAATGAAAGTTTTTTAGAAAGATTTAAGGTTCTGTTGAGACTAAAGGAATTCTCCATGATAATTTTAGTTGCTCCTTGTTTCCTATTTTAGGTACTGGCCTGTCACCTTCCTGTGCATCAGAAGTTTAGAGTAGAAGTTTAGAGTTTACAGTAACTACTGTAGAGTAGTTAGAAGAGTATTTCTACTTTTCTTCAAAATCTTTTATAAAACACAGCTTTTTATTGAAACTGAACTGAAACATTCCTGTAATGCTTTATGATAAATGACAGAGGGTGGAAGAAGCAACAAATCTCCAAAGCATATCTTCAGAGGTAAAAGCTATGATTTTCTTCTGAGTCTGAATGTTAGCTTCCTCGCCAGCAGGAATGAAGTGTGAGGAAGAGACAGAAACTGGTTTTGATGGAATGAAGCATTTGTAAGCTGACTGTTGAGGATTGCGGATAACTGTGCATCATATCTGAACATAAAAGTTAGTTTTTCAAATGTTGGTGGAAAGCTAATAAATTTTAGTTTTACATGTCTAATGTTAAGATACTAATGAGACACAGAAGTTTAATATTGATACATGAATGTAAAACTAAATTTTCAGATTTCATTATCTTGATTATGGAAATAATTCTATGGAGAAAATGTGAGGTTTTTTTCCCGGATACGTACTCTCACACCACAGCAATACCTGGCAGTTAGAGGTTTGTCCAGGTGGTGGCAACGTTGTTTCAAAAACAGGAGCAGCAAGTACTGACAGCTGAGTATTCCTCTACGGAGAGATTATAGAATACGGAAACATAGTTCTAAAATAATTGTGTGTATGTATGTTTTTACAAAAATAAAACTTGCACTGCAGACTGCTAGATTCTAGGACAGTAATTCTGGAATGACAAAGTAACTTTTCAATCTGGGTGATACTTTATGTAGCAAAGCAATTACACTTTGAAGAGCTCATTGCAGATTGTAAAAGTGTTAATATTTGAAAAACCCATGTGTTTCTGCAGTGATATAGAATCATAAAGGTATGAAAAAGACTTCTGAGTTAATTCAGTAAAACCTTTGACCAAGCACCACCATGTCAACTAAACCATGGCACTAAGTGGCACGTCCAAATCTTTTGTGAACGGTTCCAGAGATAGTGACACCACCATCTCCCTGGGCAGTCTGTTCCAATGTTTAAGCCCTTTCTGTGAAGAATTCTTCCTGATGTCCGACCTGAACCTCCCCTGGAGCAACTTTATGCCATTTCCTCCAGCTGTATCACTGGTTGCCTGGCTACACTCTTCTGTCAGGCACTTGTGGAGAGTGATAAGGTCACCCCTGAGCCTCTTTTTCTCCAGATTAAACAGCCCCAGCTCCCTCAGCTGCTCCTCACAGGACTTGTGCTCCAGAGCCTGCCCCAGCTCCCCTGCCCTTCTCTGGACTCACTCCAGCCCCTCAGTGTCTTTCCTGCAGTCAGGGCCCAGAACTGGACACAGCACTCCAGGTGTGGCCTCACCAGTGCCCAGGACAGGGGGACAATCCCTGCCCTGCTCCTGCTGGCCACACCATTGCTGAGCCAGGCCAGGATGCCATTGGCCTTCTTGGCCACCTGGGCACAGCCTGGCTCATGTTCAGCTGCTGTTACCAGCACCCCCAGATCTTTTTCCTCTGGGCAGCTTTCCAGCCACTCTGCTCCAGCCCATGGAGCAGAGTGGGGTTATTGTGACCCAAGGGCATGAGCCTTGTTGAACCTCACACCATTGGCCTCTGCCCATGATCCAGCCTGCCCAGATCCCTCCAAGAAATAATGCTCCCACCCAACTTGGTGTCATCTTGGTGTCATCAGTGTATTCAATCCCCTCATTGAAATCATCAGTAATGAAACTGAGCAGGGCTGGCCCCAGTACTGAGCCCTGGGGAACTCCACTCGTGATCAGCTACCACCACTCCCTGGGCTTAGCTATCCAGACAGAGAGATAAGTGGATCTGTCCAAGTGACAGTGCCAGCATTTCTGGGAGATTGCCATGGGACGCAGTGTTGAAGGCTTTACTGAAGTCAGAGTAGGATAACATCCACAGCCTTTCGCTCATCTACTAAGCAGCTCACCTGGTCATAAAAGGAGATTGGGTTGGTCAAGCAGGACCTGTCTTTCTTAAACTCATGCTAGCTGCATCTGATCCCCTTGTTCTTGGGGATGTGCTGCATGAGAGCACTCATGATAATGTGTTCCATATGTTTTTCTTTTAGCCGCCAGAAGCAAACTGGCAAGAGGCATGGTATGTTAATCTCTCTGACTTGAAAAAACAGGAATAGCAATAAGTAGTCATGCAGACAGGTAGTAACTTGTGTATTATTTGGCTGTTGCTACAGCCAGGTTTGATCTTCAGTGTGTACACTGGTATTAAACTGAGATGCTGATCTTGTTGAATTCTGCCTTCTACTATTAACATTCATATGCTATACATTCATAAGTTAGTTATTGTACATTTGGCTTGAAAAACTGTTTTGATTCTTTCAGTAGAGGTCTGTGAAGAGGTAATGTTTTGAGTGGATATCTTTTTTTAGGTTTCTTCAATTGTGAAAAAAACAGATAGGAAAAAAAAATAAAATATTTCTTTGTGTTAGTAACTCTTGTCTGCAGTGTATAGAGGGGAAAAAGGTGTAGTGTTAGAAATCTCTTTTTAATAGGTGGAAAAATCTTAGCAGTGTTTTAGTCATAATGATTTGAACAGCTGACACCTGTAGGACTGAGTGTGTTACAAACATGATCATTATATCAATCAGGATTGCTGACATATCATCATGCCTGCTTTGTGACTAAATTCCATGCCTTTTAGTTTCGTTGTTCTGAAATAATGGAGAATTTCACTTACTTTTCTGGTTCTAAAGGGGAAAAAAATCCATCATTAATATGCATAAAAAGAACAAATCACCTTCTATGTGTGAAGTTTTAGGGTTTGAAATCATGTTGGGAAATAACAGATTTTACAGAAGAGTGTGCAAATATGCCAGTATCAGGTACAGGGAACTTTTTTTCCAGTATGTGTGTGTAAGCGATTTCAGTGCATAATACATATGAATTTGAGTAAACAAGATTATAAATACTGTATACATTCTTTGTTGTGATTCCGATGTGAAAACTTGCAGTGTCCATTTTTGCCAGTATCTAATTTGCAGTATCTTTCTTTAGGAATTGTTTGCTACTGTAAAATAAGAGTGCATATAAAATTAAACATTTAAATAAAAGTGGTGGGGCTACCCACCAGTGGTGTAATTCTAAAAAAAGAAGAAAAAATTACAAAGAGCTCAACAAAAGAGTGTAGTTGAGAAACCATGAGATTAAAAATAGCTGAGTAATGTTGGTATGCTGCCCTATGGGCCACTGTAACCTTTTAAGGTTCTCCTGAAGAATAGAGAAGGTGATAAAGAATTAGGTCTGGCTTCTGCTTTGTACAATACATTTATTGTGTTATTTATAATTCTTTAAAAGACAGAAAAAAAGTTTCTGTCACCAGAGGCTTTATAGTTTTAAGGTCAGGTTTGCCAGTACAAGATACAATACAAATGCTGCGCTTTGAGAAGAGGGAAGAATTAGTTACGCACTCAAGCTCGGGGCACAGGGGCTGCACAGAAAGGAAGAACATTGAGAAATTAATCTGATAGGTTGAGGGAGTAGAAATGATGAAATAGGGAGGTGAGATCTTAAATTTTAAATGTCCCTTGTTTGTGGTGTGTGTATGAAAAGCAGTATGTTGTTTCATCCTTCTTGAAGTGAACTAGTGATTTGACTAGCTTCTTTCAACTAGAGATCTGGAGACACTACCAGCAGGAATTGCAATCAGAATGAAATTTAGAAGAGATCAAAGGTGGATTCTGTCTGACTTCTGCAGGCAGTGCTCAGTGCTGTAGGAACTGAAAATGTCACTAGCTTTAGAATTATTAAGCACATGTAGTGATTGATATTATGTGTCTGTATGAGGGAGATCAAATTCCAGGTTGAATTAAAAACAGCTACAAACAGGAAGAGGGAATGGAAGATACATTGCAATATGCAGCAGGATGTCCACTGAACATAGCATCCACTACAGATGAAGAAGTGATGTTTCTTCAAGTAGAAGTCTATGCAGCAGTGGGGGAAGATGTTGGAATGATCCCTGTATTCATGGTTAGTGCTTAGTTTTGTACCACACAGTGCTTAGTACAAATATTAGAGGTTAGTATGGCCTTGTGTTAACTCTTTGTTGTGACTAATAAATCTTGTGACACCTAATGCTTCATTGTTAATTTATATTGGTGACTAATATGTACTAGTTGATGTCTTAGTTTTGATAACAGAGTGCTGGAGTAACGAGTAATAAGAGAAGTGCGTCATAACATGACCACGTATTTGAGATACTCTCAAGAAAAGAAGATTCATCAGAAGATCCGGGACCATAAAAGGGAATTTTGAGGAATGGGATGTTCCCAAATGTGAACAGTGGTTGTCCATTTGTGAGTGCATTGCTTCTATCAGATATGGGGGAGCTTCTCACAGCTTTTCAGGGGAGGGAAGGTCCCTGTAGCCGTCCCCTCCACTAACAGAACATGACCACACAAGCCCAATACATGTATATAGCAGTGATTCATTACTATGGTCAAGAATACCCCAATTTAGCAGTTGTAACAGGAAGATACACAGTGTAACGAAAAAATTCAGATAAGTAAATTGACCTCTTTCATATCACGTTTTGCTCTCAGTATTATAATGTGCTGCCTAAAGACTGATAGCAGTCAAGGTGAAGGTTCTGCCTGAATCAGGGAGGAATTCATGTTTATATATCCATGTTATACTCAAGGGAGTATAATTCATATTTGATTCATGTAAAGCTTAGTCATGGAGGTTGATAAATAAACTTACTGCTCCATTGTTAAACTTAAGTCAGCTGAATATTGATATTGTTTCTCTGAATGTACAGTGCATAAGAGAGGAATTAGAAGTCTTGTCTCGAATTCAGCATCTTCAGTACAATAAACTGATACTCAGAGGAGACTGCTGGCTGCTTCTGCTCTTTCTTCTGTAATGCATTTGTACTGATTAGGAATTGAGGAAGGGGGAAATGAAGTTCCCAGGCACTCAGAATGTCAAGATCTGTGTTTTCCAGTAGGACTGCTGGCAGTTATCTGGAGCAGATGCATCCAGTAACAGGGTACTCAAGAAACACTTGTTCCCCTGACCAGACATCACAAACAATTTAATTTGTTAAGAAAAACGGTTGCTAACAGTAGCAGTTATCGGGGGGGAGGGGGACAAAACCCACAAAAACATAGGCAATTTTAAAAGACCTTGCAATTAAGGATAAT